TGGGAGATTCCATATAAACTTTCAGCTTTTGTGCATAACAGGTTCATTTGCACTTCCTCGAGTCATTTCGGTCGACCGAAATGCTAGTTCGGTCGACTGAAGCCCTTTTGGATTTCATTTGAGCATTAAAACCATCATATTCAGTAGCCTTCTTCGCTGTTTGGACCTATTTCGGTTTACCGATGGTCCATTTCGGTCTACCGAACCAACCAAGCCTTAAACTTGTTTTCAGTAGAGATTTAAGTCATTTCGGTCGACCAAACTAGCCTGATCCCGAGAGTAGCCTTAGTTCAGTTTCAGCACTGTTGCTCCGACTTTGAATGGCTATTACTTCTTCGTTTCTAATCCAATTCTTGAGCCTGAATTCATAAGCTTGAAGTCAGCTTTCCAATGACACCAACCATGCATTCAAAATCCAATTTTGGTGGGAGTTATTCATGTTTTAGTGAGAGGGTGTCAGTTTTGTTTAAACCGGGAAAGGGCATTTCGTGGGATTCTTGTCCAATGTTATTGGAACCTCTTGGAATGTCGTGTAATGATTGGTTTAGGTTGTGTGGACCTTATTTGACTTGTTTAGAGTCAAATCTCCCTTCATATTTGCAAATTGACCTTTTTGCCCTTGATTTACGGGTTTTGCTTGTTTTTCTTCATTTTGTCATTTCTCTTTCGTTCGGACTCCGAATCATGCGATTCTTAAGTCCATCATGATTTGTTTTTCATTGTCTTTCCAGTGGTGTGCTCGGTGACACCTGAATTCATACTTTCAGAAATCACTACCTTGCCCCCGGGGGCTTAAATTGTCATTCTTCCAGTCCTTTACTTCTGCACCTTATTTCTTTGAGTTCCATGACCTCATGGAGGGTCATCCTAGGGTCGTAGAGGTGTTTTGTGCCTTGGAAGACCATCGTTTTGTTTCTTGCTTCCGTATCTGGATCCGTTATCAGGTCAATCTTCGATTCATCACTGTAGTACCGGGTTGAATAAAAACTCGGGTCGTTACATATAGTATATATGTATTGTATAGCTTATTTGACAATTCAAAACCTTAAAAACATGTATATCTTGCCATAAGTAAATTGTTTCATTTACTAAATTATTTGATTTAAGAGACTTTTCATATTAGGGTAATAATCTATTGGAATGTGGTACATTTGGTTACCTCACGAGCATGATACTAGACTTGGGTAGATTAGTATTTGTGGCCTCTTAAAATGGTAATCAGACTTAGCATGATATAGGATATCATTGTCATTCAAAGCTTGTTTAAATATATCTTGCATAGGTATATATCTTATTTAGGATATTACAATTGATAACCTTGAAAGTTAGTTACTAAATCTTAGCTTATTTAGCACTTGTGGCTTAGGATGGTAATTTGGTTCAATTGTTGTAAAATATTCTTATTTTGTGTATAAATTGCATATTGTGGACTTGACATGTCATATACCATTTAGACTTGAATTTTAGGGCATGGTTTGTGTGGATTCAACCTTACGTGTGCATGGAAGATAGTTTTTATGCACTACTTGATTTTGTAAAAGTTTGGTCTAACTTATTAATTTTGCATAAGTTTTGAACTTATTGATTTTGGAAGGCTTGTAAAGACAATATTGTGACGACACTGGTTCTTCAAGCCAGTGCGTCTTGTGATGAACCAGAAATTGACCCGATAGCGGATCCAGATGCGGAAGTAAGAAACAAGACAACGGTCTCCCAAGGCACAATATGCCTCTAAGACACTTTGATGACCTTCCATGTGGTCTGGAACTCAATGAGAACTGATGCGGAAACAAAAGATCGAAAAAGTAACAATTTAGGCCCCAGGGGCAAAATAGTTATTTCTAAAAATATAGATTCGAGTGCCACTGAGCACAACACTAGAAAGATAACGAAAAACTAATCAAGATAGACTCAAGAATCACAAGATTCGGAGTTCGGACAAAGAAGAAACGGTATGACGAAGAAAAACGAGCCCTTAAGGCTAAAAAGGTAAACTAGTAATTATCTAGGAAGATACGGGTACAACAAAGTACACCTCTGGAAAGATAGCGAAAAATTAATTAAGTTCAAAAAAAAGTTCACTCGATTTGGAGTCCAGACGAAGGAGAACGAGCGAAAACAAAAGTCAACGTCACGATGTCGAGACGAGCACCCCGACAAGCACCATGACATGCTAGAGGAAGAAAAGTTCCAGCCAGAACTGAGAGCCGAAACGAGGTCCAAAACAAACTTTTATAGAAAAACATGAAGAACAAACCCACACTAAAATCAAGTTTTCTACCCGACTACATGTAGAAAAACACAAAAAACTCACTATTAAATACCCAAATTGCCCCTAGATTAAAAGAGGTCAAGAGGGTCAAAAAGCTGTTACAGGATCTGTCAGCGACAGAGAGCAAAAACGGGCGAATTTTTCTGGAAAAACACGAAGAAGAAACCTCCCCTCCAAAATCAAGTTTTATACCTGACATTGTGGACTGAAACAAATAAAATGCACTATAAAATGCCCAAAATACCCCCAAGAAAATCAGGTCAAGAAGTTTAAAATCCCCTAAGACAGTTATTAATTTTTTAGGTTAATTCCACCTACACCTCCTGATTTTTGCCAATATCCCACTCACACCCCCTCCACGTTTCAATATTCCACCTACCTCCTCTCTTTGTGAAGACCTTATTAACAGAGTTAGGTGATTTTACAATTTTACCCATCCATTATATATTAAAATTTGGAGCTAAATTGAAAAGACAAAAACACCCTTCTATATACACATACAAATATATGTATATGAACCTGCACAAAAAAACATAGCTTTTATATACAGACAAATATAATACACGTTACACGCATATATTGGGTGTATTATCTCTCTCTTTGAAGTCTAACCTAGCTAATCCCCTTCTACCTGCAGACCCATTACTCTCTCTCCTCTCTACTCTGTGGATCCATTTTTGGGATTAATAGTGTCTGTAATGAAATCACGTAGAAATAGCAGCTAAAGATTGACTATTTTTTTTATAAAAAAATTTGACTGCTCCAATGGTGGTGAGTAGTGATTGGTGGTGCTTGAAGCGGTGATCGGTGATTGCGATTTGTCGTCTCTTAGAATCTAGTGATGAGAGAGTTCTCAAAGGAAACAAGGTCAAGGGTTCCAAAGGCCAGCGAATATCTGAGAGATGGTTAGACCGGCGAGGCACCAAAGCTTTCTGAAATTGGTGGTATGTTGGTGAGGGTTTTTAGAGAGAGAAAGGGGAAATTTTAAAAAGAGCTCTAGAATGTGGGTGTGGTGATGAAGGAGGAGACATAGAGGAGATAGAATCATGGGTCTGGAGAGGGGTTACGTTTAGAGAGAGAAAGAGAGGAGAGAGAGTAAAGCATCACCGTCGTCGTCGCCCATCACCATCGGGATATCGGATTACAACCTTGACGGCCATCACCCATCACTGTCGTCGCCATCCACCTAGTCAAGCTTATCGGACATGCGTTCGTGGTGGTCAGTAAAACTTCACATTGTTGCTCCATCTCCACCTCCACTTCCACCTCCACCTCCATTGTCATCAGGATTCATCATTGTCACCTCCACCAGTAGCAATACATACCACAACCTATTACACAATATTTTACCCATTTATTTCCCAAAAATAAAATAAAATAATAGTTTACCCACCACAATCTCTATAATTTTGATAATCAAAGTTTGAATCACAGAAAAATGAAACAAAATTATACTAATTCCTAATTTAACACATTGAACTTACCAAGCTCCACTATGATAGAATAATCAAAATTTAATAACCCAAAATACAATTACCTTGAATTTTGACATTTGATTATTTTGCCAAAACTATTTATTTATTTTTATTTTTTAAATCGAGTAAGATATCAAAATTTTGGAAACATAACATGTTTTAATTTTATTCTATTGGTTTTGTATTTTAGAATATAGCATTAGAACAATTCAACACTGAATTCTCAAAAAAAATTACAGTTTTCAGAAAACATATGTCAAAGTACCAATAAAAACTTCACCATTGTTGCTCCACCTCTATTTTCATCAGGACTCATCATTGTTACCTCCACCATTAGCAATACCTACCACAACCAACACATAACATTTTACCCACCACAGTCTCTCTATAATTTTGATAATCACAGAAATTTGAAACCAAATTATACTAATTCCCTTTGTATTTCAGAATACAAGATTACAACTCAAAACACTACATTCTCAAAATTTTTACTCTTTTCAACAGACACATATCAAATAATATATGTCAAACGAATATCCAACTCCGTCGTTGAGTAGTTCGATCAAAGATCCAACTCCGTCACCGTTTAACTACTCCTCGCCCAGTCACCACACACCATTGTGCCGTGGATCAGTAGTTCACCGTGTGCCTTTGTGCTGTACATGTTTAAGTGGAAGGAAGGGTATTCTTGTACATTTGAGTTAACAAATTAGTGGTAATTTTGTATTGTAAATGAGGTTGAAGATGCCATTTTACACATTGGAAGGGTAAAATTGACCTTCTAACAATTTTCTCATGTTGACATCAACACACACCGTTTGTTGTTTAATGGTAGGGAGTAGTATGACACCAAAACCAAAACCGCAGGGGGTGTAGTTGGAATATTGAAATATAGAGGGGGTGTGAATGGAATATGGGCAAAGGTCAGAAAGTGTAGGTGAAATTAATCCTAATTATTTTTTAATTTTTTAATTTTTTAATTTTTTTATACTGTAATAATATAATGCCTAATAATTTCTCCAAGTTGCACCCTTAATTTTAAGTGGGACCGACTTGGATTGTTAAAAGGAAGCTGACCGCTGCTGACTCACTTATGATTGGATCTCGAGAAAAAAACGTGTGTAAATAGAATTCATCAAGCTCAGACAACAAGGTCAATGGCACATTTTGTAGTTCCAAAGCAAGGGAAAGGGCATTGCAGAGATTCCAGAATATATAATTGGTGACTTCTGTTTTTAACGTCGGGAAGAGACACCTCACAGAAAAGGATAAAAAGGAAGAGAGAAATAGTGAGAGGAGAGAGAGGGGAGAGAGACCACCGAAGGTTCACTACTGCGTCGAAGGTGGTTAGGGTTTTTCTATTGATCCTCCAAACCTAAACCTCCTTTTTTTTACCCCTCTCTTTCTCTCTCCTTGTCCTCAAATCCCTAATCATATATTCAGTGATCCACCTCTACAATTCAATCTCACCAAATCTTTCACCGCAAGTTTCATTTCGCGAAGAGATAAGCGCCCATATCTTCACTGCAAATTTCAGTTCGCGAAGAGATAAGCTCTGATGGGTGCGCAAGAAAAGTCTCCGACTGCGAACAATTCTTTGCAGGTTAGTTTTTTCGCTGCTACACAGAGATTATTGCTTTTGCCCAAAAGTTGGAGTTAACATAAAGTTACTGGTTATTGGTTGCGGTTATGTAGCTCTGGCTTGTTGCTTTTAAGATAGTTTCTCTTACTTGCAAACTTCAATTCTGTGGGTTGATTGTATTCCCCCTTCAATTGACTTCATTTTGATGTTGTATACACATATAGTAATAGTATAATTGTTGATACGATTCTATTTTAAGGTCAGAATGCAATTGCTTGTTGATAACATAGGGCTAGTTTGAGTGGACAAAATCATTCATTTTTCTTCTACTTTCCAAGGTTTGTGTATTGGGTGGTTAAGTGTATAAACTTTTTATCGTGGCTTACAGTTTCGCGAGGCATTGTATTTGCTGGACTATAAGTTGAAGCTGATTTTGCGTTCATGTTGGAGCTGTATATTTCTTCCATTTGTGGGGAAAAGTTATTTGTTGGAAAAATGTTTGGTCTGTCTATAATGGGTGTGACCCCCTAGAGCTGTAGAATATTGCAAAATTTATATGTCCTTGTCACGGCAGTTCATGCTTGCAATTGGAGTGTTAGTCAGTCGTATCAAGTCGACCATGTGGAGGAACGAGGTCATATATATGGCTTCTTAATGGATAAGGGATGTACAAAGTGACAAATGCTGAGACTTTGTCAATGTCATTTTCATAATAAGTCTATTAGAGTTGGCATTGGAAGTGAGTTGAGTCAAGCTTCAAGCAATTTTTTTTTTTGATAAGTAAAAATAATATAAGAAAAGGTGTTCAAAAGGGGAACGCGTCCCAATTACAAGAGTGGGACCAGGACTAAGGCCCCAACGAATCCAAGAAAGTAATTAAATCGTCAGCAAGCTTCAAGCAATTTAAATGGCCAATTTAAATTGTGTTTAACTTATACTGGTTCAGTAAATGCTTGCTGACCTTGAGACTAGTTTATCACCCATGAAATGTAGTCGGGGCACGAGTGATTTGGTTGCATTTATATTGACCACGTAATTGCAATTAAGTGTTGGTGTTTGACCTTATAAGAGGCATATATTATCAGGATTTTGGAAGATAGTTGTTGTTACTTTATTGATTATAGCTGTGAGTACTTTTCCAATGATTGATTTGGTCGCTTTTAGCAAGTGTCCCCGCTTAAAATGCCTTGATGTCCACACAGACGGATAGGGGACGTTGTTATAATTATAGGGTTTATTTTAGATGTCTCACTAAGGCTATGTTTGATATAACAGGAGGGAAAAGAAAAGATTACATTTGTTACGGGAGAAAAGAAAAGAAAGGAAAAGATATTGTTAACCTCTTATCATGTTTGGTTGATTAACGAGGGAAAAGAAAGGAAATGATAGTCTTCGCACTTAATCATCTTTTGGGAAAGAATGGAAAGGAAATTATTTTAATGAATTTACCACTATACCGTTTCACATTTGAAAGACAAATATATAGGAAAGAAATGATGAGCCAAATATGAAGATTGTGCTACAACAGCATTCAAGCCAAAGTGACAATTTGAAAACAAAGAAAAAGTTATAGAGAATAAAAACATGCCCAAGGACTCATATGGTGTTTTGTTTTTGTCTTTCGTGAAATAAGGACAAAATCGGTATTAAAAAGTTTTATTAAACTTTGTAGCCATTTCCTTCCATTTCCTCCCATTTTTGGAAGGATAACAAAACCTACTCATTATGCCTAATTTTAATCCCTCTAATTTCTACATTTCCTTTCTTTTCCTTTAATGATTTATACTTTAGGCACTCCTATTTGTACTGGAGTGGGTAGCACAGCTGATGATGACAGAGGTAAGGGTGCAGAGGACAATGCGCTCTATGACAGGGAGTTGGTTTCATGGGAGGAGGCTGAGGTCCTGGAGTGCATTCAACCACTCTCTGAGATACGACTGGAGGGGAGTTGGAGGGGTTTTCCTGTTGCAGCTCATGAGGACAGTGGGGTGGATTGGGTAAAGGAGAATATTGACAGTGTGAGTAGTTTGTTGGGGATTTTTTTTGAGCTAAAGGAGAAGGAGTCTTGTATGATTTTGCATTCAATTGTTGAGGGGAAGATTGGGGAGGAGAGGGGTAGTAGGAAACGGATAGTGAGAAAGGAGAAGAGGTTGACTTTGTGGAGAGGGGGAATGGAGGTTCGCAGTTTTTTTCCGGTGTGAATTATGAGGGAAGCAATGGGGCTGGGAGGGAGAGGAGCCATGAAAGGGGTAGAGGGGGGAAGGAAAGGGGAAGGGTTATCCATTTGTTCTTGATGAAGTGCCGAATTATTTCTTGTAATGTCCGAGGACTTAATAATCTAGACAAAAGAAAAGTGGTGAAGATGGCTGTCAAGAAGTGGGGTGTGCATGTGGTTTGCCTGCAGGAGACAGAGATGGATTCCATTATATATAGGGTTGTGAGGAGTTTTTTTTTTTTTTTTTTTTTTTTGGGGGGGGGGGGGGTGTTTGTTGATGTGGGACAGGAGATGGGTTTCGAAAACGGAGGTGCGGAGAGGGAGGTTTTCTATTTCGTGTGCTTTTTCCATGGAGGAGGATGGAATCTGTTGGATGTTTTCTGGTGTGTATGGCCCAGTTGAGGATGGGGAGAGGCACATTTTGTGGGAGCAGGAGATGGGTTTCGAAAACGGAGGTGCGGAGAGGGAGGTTTTCTATTTCGTGTGCTTTTTCCATGGAGGAGGATGGAATCTGTTGGATGTTTTCTGGTGTGTATGGCCCAGTTGAGGATGGGGAGAGGCACATTTTGTGGGAGGAGTTGGGGGTAGTGAAGGATCAGTGGTGTCTGCTGTGGTGTTGGGGGGGGGGGGGGGGGGGGTTAGATCAACAAGAGGAAGATGGAGGGGAGAGATCAACAAGAGGAAGATGGACATCGGCTATGGAGCAGTTTTCTGAGTTCATTGACCGTTGGAGGGAGCTAAGTTTACATGGGGGAGTGGTAGAGAGTCTCCTACTTAGCCCCGACGGGATTGTTTTCTTCTCTCTGGAGACTAGGAAGAGAAGTTTCCGCCCGTGGTACAGGCAGCTTTGGCTAGATCGACATCTAATCATATTCCGGTGGTTTTAGACTGTGGTGGATTGAGGACGAGTACTCCTTTTCGTTTTGAAAATACGTGGTTACGGGCTGAGGATTTCCAGGGATTTGTGAGGACTTGGTGGGAGGGTATCAGGGTGGATGGTAATCCGAGCCTTATTTTTGCAAAAAAACTTAAGTGATTGAAACTTGAGAATAAAAGGTGGAATAAGGAGGTGTTTGGGAATCCGGAGTGGAGGAAGAATAGGGCTTTTGCGGAGATTGCTGAGATTGATAGGTGGGAAGGTGTGGGTGGCATTGATGAGGGTCAGGAAAGTAGGAGGGATGCGTGCCAGAAGGAGATTGCTGAGATTGCAGTGGCGGAAGAAATCTCTTGGAGGCTGAAATTTAGAGCCATATGGCTTAAAGAAGGTGATAAGAATACTAAGTTTTTCCATTGGCTTGCAAATGCTCATAGGAGAGGCAATCACATTGGGAGGATTACTATTGATGGGGAGGTTTTGGTTAGGGAGGAGGATGTATACAGGGGGATTGTCTCTTTTTACCAGGGTTTGTTTACGGAGCCTTATTTATGGAGACCCCGGCTTGATGGTTTGCACTTTGACGCTATTTCAGAAATTAATAGAGATGGTTTGGAAATTCTGTTTTTTGAAGAGGAAGTGTTGAAGGTGCTAAGAAGTTGTAACGGGGACAAAGCTCTGGGGCCGGATGGTTTTACTATGAGATTTTTATTAGAGAGTTGGGAGGTGGTTAGGGGAGAGGTGATGGATACGTTTCATGCCTCCTATATTCAGGGGAGGTTTGAAGGTTCTTTGAATGCATCGTTCATTGCACTGATTCCAAAGAAGGGGGGAGCTTCGGATGTTAAGGACTTTAGACCTATTAGCTTGTTGGGCTGCATTAATAAATTAGTAGCTAAAGTTCTAGCATTAAGGTTGAGGGTTGTTCTGGATGATATCATTTCGGAATATCATAATGCCTTTATAGGTGGGCGTCAAATTCTTGATTCAGCCCTTATTGCTAGTGAATGTATGGACCCGAGGTTGAGGAGTGGTGTCCTAGGTGTTCTTTGTAAGCTCGATGTTGAGAAAGCTTATGATCATGTGAGTTGGAAGTTCTTGTTGTACTTGATGGAGAGAATGGGTTTTGGGGATAAATGGAGGAGTTGGATTGAGGCCTGCATATCTTCAGCCAGATTTTCGATGATGGTTAATGGGTCTCCGACCGGTTTCTTTGGTAGCTCGCGAGGTTTGCGCTAGGGGATCCTTTGTCTCCTTTTTTGTTCATTATTGTTATGGAGACCCTTAGTAGATGGGGAGGGCGGTGGAGTTGGGTTTTATTAAGGGTTTCATGGTGGGTGGGAGTGATGTTCATCATATGGAGGTATCTCATTTATTGTTTGCGGATGACACGTTGGTGTTTTGTGAGGCTAAGGTGTCCCAGATGAGGTATCTGAGATCAGTGTTGATTTGTTTTCTGACGTTTTCAGGCTTGAAGGTGAATGTAGGGAAGAGTGCCTTGATTCCAGTAGGGGAGGTGCAGATATTGGTGAGTTAGCTTCTGTGCTTGGATGTGGAATTAGTAGTTTTCCGATTACATACTTGGGGTTACCTTTGGGAGTTTCTTCGAGGACTGTAGGTGTTTGGGATCCGGTGATTGAGAAGGGTCAGAGGAGACTTGCAGGGTGGAAGAAGCAGTATTTATCGAAAGGTGGGAAGGTTACTCTTTTGAAAAGCACGCTATCAAGCCTCCCTACTTATTTTTTATCCCTCTTCCAGATTCCATCTGGGGTTGCTAGTTCGATTGAGAGGCTTCAGAGGAATTTTCTATGGGGTGGACTTCAAGGAGAATTTGAATATCATCTTGTTCGGTGGGAGCAGGTTTGTAGGCCGATTCAAGCCGGAGGCTTAGGGAAAAGGAGGTTGGTGCCATTTTACAGGGCTTTCCTTGGC